AAAAACATTAGTGCTTCTGAAATCTAAGGGAAGGAAATCATCCAACACATGTAGGCCCTACAATGTCAACACCAATCCCTTGCAAATTTCTTGACTTTTCTCCACCTTCCATGTCCCCATCATGACCACAAAGCTTCGCATATCTACCAACTTCAACCTCTACTGGTTCGTGATCTCATTCGAGATGAAGTTATAAGTGACCACACTATCCACCAACACCACTACGGCTGCTACTGATTTCCCCACCCCACCTGAAAAATAGCCAATTTAGCCAAGCTGGATCGAGAACAGGCCGGCCCCCATAGCCCCAAGTTAGTCTCCCTGGGTTGAGGAGTCTTCAACCTCGTTCTTCGAAGCTTATGGCTTCTTGTAGTACTGTGTCAGGTCAGCGACGTTTGCGTGACTGATACATTGTAGCCCCATGGCAGGTCGATCTTGTAGATGTTCTCGTTCCAAAGCACATTTTGGTAGAATAGGTATTCGGCTACCTTTGAAAGACAGGTATTCTCATAGCACAAGTATCGAGTCATTCCAGAGATAACCTATTTCTTCCACTCCTCGTAATCGATTGAGTGCAGCTGAGGAGCTAGTAGGGGAGGAGGGATCAATTTGGGGGGTGAAATTTGTGGCAGGCTGCACCTCTCTCACCAGCACCCACTCAGGAGAGACCACTTTGTTACTGATAGAACCTGGATCACATTGAAGAATTTTTGCCTCCTCCTGTCTGGACATCTGACAAGGGGTACAATGCAGAACAAGAAACAACCTCTGAATAACTCCATGTGATATTTCTGAGATGACACAAAATGACCCCACTTTTATCATGTTGGACCTCCCTCTGTAAGGGTAGCTCAGAAAGGGGTCTATACATCTGAAAAGCCTACAATGCTTTGATCTATGATGGCCCTATATTTATGATCGGCTTGTCAAACTCATACCCCTTTTGGACATCCCAAGTTAGTCCGACCGATGTTCCTGTCATCGCCTATGAAACAGTAGTTCGAGGTACCACCACTTCATACTCTGCATGATTGTTCATTATATCAACATCGCTAACTTCCTGAATGGCTACTGTTACCTCAGCTGAAATCACTATATTGGGGTCAACTGGAATTGATGACTTGTCTTCCTTATTGGCAAATAATTGTGGATCCTCTTTGAAGATAACATCTTTTCCAGATCGTCGTTTATCTCTTCAATTGAAAGCTGGTCCTTTTTTATGTCCTCACCGTCTTCAGTGCCTACAGTCTCTTTACCTAACTTTTCAGTGGCGCCCTGCTCGATGAAGTAGATCACTCTCCTGGTTGTGCACTCTGCTTCAACATGTCCAAATTCGAGGCACTTGCCAGATTTTCCGGCTGTAACAGACTTGTGGATCAGTTTCACTAGATAGTAACAAGGGGGGTTGCTCAGTGCTGCAGTCTCTCCACTTCAAAAGCTAGGATCTGTAATTTTTTGTGGTAGTAAGTTGGTAAGAACAAGCGCAGTGTTTCCCGCTTCATCTTCACATATTCTCATTCCCTCTTCGACCTTTTAGATCACGGTCAAGCATAGCCTCCCATTGGATTTTATCTTCCATGTTCGTAATCTACCACAAAAGCCGGTGGATCTCTCATCGTGTCTTCTCCCGTGAAGTTCGGGTATGTCTCTCAATGGTGACATGACTAAAGATTAAGAAATAGGAAAGAAAAATTTTGTTGGGGTTAGGTTTTAGGTTGTGGAAAGGATATTTGATGGTAGCAAAGAAAGTTGTAGTTTATGGCGGATGCTAGGAAGTCCTATGATAGAACTAGGGTTGAGCTAGCTCTATTACCAAATAATATCAAAGAAAAATCCAAACCACGACTCAAAATTGCAACTATTATTACGGAACGCCACAAGGTTACAATGACCACTCTTCAACAGGAAATAACATAGCACAAGTAAATCACAAACAACAATGAGGACTATTGAAATTAAGAAAAATGCAATAAAATAAAACGAAAACAACCCTCAACAATGGGTACGACAGGCGAGGATGGAACAACGATGTTGTCGGTCGCGGGAAAAGGCGGAGAAAGCTGGTGGCTGCTTTGAGGAGTCAGTCAGGAGACCTGAAAGTGTTGGAGAGGATCGACAGCCTGTTGGAAAGGAACCAAAGGGGACAGCAAGGTTGGCGGGCTATTGGGAGGGCCGGCTAGGGTCAAGGAGAAGCTGGAAGGGCTACTAGTAGGTGGTTGCTGAAGAAGACAAAGGAAAAGAACAAGGCTGACAACAGTGGAAGAGGACGTGCGGTGGCTGAACGGGAGCAGAAAGGTGGCTGAACAAAAGCAGGAAGTTGGTTGACTGCAATGGAAGAGGGGGTTATGGTGGCTAGATTCTAACTCTTCGAGATGGTCACCACCTAAAACAGGGACAGTCAGAGCACTTGCCTTCAGATACATATCTTGAAGGAAACAAAGCCGACAGCGGTAATTTGAATTCAGAAATCACTTAACTGAAAAAAATTGAGAAACTCAAAACATACCACCTCTTATTTATAATGGGCTTAAGATTTATTTTAGGCAATGTTTTAAAATAAGAAAGAGAATAAAAATAATAATAATTCATGATTTAGGCAATGTTTATAAATGAAAGAATTCAGAATAGACAAAGGCTAATAAAAATAATAGAAATTCAACATTAGCAGGTCCTAGGAAGGAAAGATGGGAAAATGAAATGGAAAAGGAAAGGATACTTCTTCAAAAATACCCCTCAATTGTTCCCATAATAGCTTAAATCTCTTCAAATATTCCAAGACAGTCCCCATCTGAGTCAAGATAAAGAATTGCTCTTATAGATCTCCTTCTCGCATGACTTGGAAACATTCCAACAAGAGATCCTTAAATCCCTCCCACAAGCAAATCGGGTATCTAACCTCCCTCCACTGAAACCATGCTAGGGCTTTCCCCTCCAAATATAACCCCGCCACCATAATCTTCTTCTCCTCATTTAGTTTATTCAACATGAAATATCACTCCACTCGGTACACCCACCCATGTGCGGTTTCACCCTCGAAATCGTCATTTTCAACTTCCCAACCAAAGCATCTCCAACCCAACTTAATTTCCCTTTGGTGTTTCACCCCATTTATCTAGGGTGAAACTCCCTCCTTCGATCATAGCAATACTCCATCATAGTTTCTCTCCTTCCATCTTCATGCTCCTTCATACCCCTTGTATAACCCCTTCTTCATGTTTTTGCCCAACCACCTCCATCTAATCAAAGCCCTAGGAGGGTTTCTTGATGTTGAATGCTTTCCTCTTCAAGATACTCTCATTTGTTCTCTTTCTCTTTCGATTTAGTCAAAGATTCTCTATTCAACCCTTGGTTAAGGTTTGCAAATTGATATGCGGCAGATTCTTGAATTGCTCAAAAAGCCTCCTCATCTCCTCCAAGCTCTCGAATTGGTTTTCAATAGAGGAAAACCTTTCGTTTAGAGCTTAGAAGCTTTCCTCTACCCCGAATTTAAATTGTCTTACTTTTTTTTCCAATCAATCCTTCAAAACATCCACTTTCTTTGTTGTCATCTCTGCAAGCACCTGCTCTGATACCAATTTGAAACGAACCAGAGCAAAAATCAACAAAAGAATTGCAAATATTAGGTGGGAAAACCCAAATTAGGACTAACTTGATTAATACCAAACAGACAAACGAGATACAAGGGATGATCTATAATTTGAGAGGCAGATCATCTCCTCACAAGCCTTAAACACCGCTAGGAGTAAAAAAACAAAAAGAAAAAAACTGAAGGAATCAAACCCTATCCCATAAAACACCCCCAAAACACATTCAAACTTTTCCCATAAACACATTCAAACTTTCCCCAAATCCCCCCTAAATTGCTCTCCTCGCATACGTGATTATTGGCTTGACAAGCCCCACCCGGAGGCTCGACTCTTCCCAGATAGTCGATCGGCTTGGCTGGGCTGGGCCGGCTGGTCCCTCCCGGACCGGCGTTACAACATGCCTTTCCTTTATAAGTTTTCTGACTAGTAGTTATTCAAAACAAGATTCCCAAAAAAGAGATGGTTATTAATTTGCCTCTCAGATTACTAATTATATATTAGGCAGCAACATCATTCAAAGAAAAAAATAATAAATTTTTTCTTATAGTCTTATAGCCATTAATCGTTATCATAAATATCAAGAGCAATCTTTGGAAGTTGAGATGCATTACCCCAACAGTGCAGTCAATCTCTTAAAACATCTTGGTTAAAATCCAACAACAACTTTGATAAGTTCACTACTTGTAGTTTAAGTGTTTATATAATCCAACCGGGGATCTTGCACACGGTTCACATTGTAGGAAGCAAATTCTCTCATCTGCGTAATAACATAAATTGCAGAAAATTTGCGGAGTTGGAAAGCCTATAAACAAGCGACTCAAAATGAACAAACTATCAGATAGCCAACACAAAATGCTAAGCATGAATGTTAAGGTCAAATATTTTAAGCAGAGCTTGAGAAGGAACTCTATCTAGATAAAAATTATTGACAATCTAAGTTAGGAACGTTGTATCAATCAAGTTTGAAACATCAAACGTAGCTAGGGCAAGACATACATTTTGGTCCACATTATGCATGATCAAAGTTGGATGGATTAAAACAAACAACCATTTTTCATTTCATTAGCACAATGGATTAATTCAGCTTTTCAGCAAAAACATATAAAGGGGAAATTTGCATACATACCACACAATTCTTAATGTATTTATATATCTAACACCTAATGTTTGGTATTTACATAAATAACACATTCAATATATACATGTAAATGTACAAATTATAATATAAAAAGTTAGTATTAGTGGTATCTTTGTTGTGACGTTAAAGATTTGAGTATTAAACAAGAAAAAATTAAAGCTTAGGAGACACGTAAATACATAAGAATTGTGTGGTGTGCATGTGAATCCCCAATAATAATGATAATAATAATAATAATAATAATAAACAATCAACATGACTGTAGACAATCATACCTGGCAAGCTATAATTCTGGGGTTGACTAGGAGACAATGTTGGTGAGGAAATTTCAAAAGTATGGCTGTTTTCAAAAGCCAAAGGTGCTGGTGAAGGGGCACCATTGAACTGAAGTCTCTTCCATAACTCGGAACAATTTGTTTTCCAAAAACCAATTCTTTCATTTCGACGGTCATAAATCACAAGAGTATTGCGTGCAATTATTCCTTTTAATTTGAAGTTTCCATAGAAGAGAGTCAAGTGACATGAGGATTGAACAAACAAGACCAGAAACTTGGTCAGAGGTCAGATAAATTTTGATAATAGCAGGAATCCCCAAGAGTATTTTCAAAAGCAATTATTGCCGTTTTGTCATTACATACCTCCCAAAAGAGTGGTAAGATCATTCCCGTTTTGAAAAACTCCCAAGCAATAAGCACCGTGAACCTTAGAATGCTTTACATATAATTGAAATTAGTAAAAGCCGTATAAATCTACCAGCTTATAGACAAGACCAAAATAATGGAAGAATGAATCATGGAAGATTCATAATTATAGAAGAAATATATATATCAGTGTATTATCATCCTACCCGGAACAAGTAATTCTCAGGATAGAGTTTTAATTTTTGACCATCACCAAAGAGCATGTCAACTTCAGGAAAGAATTTTGAGAGTTGGGAAACATCACTGTATAAGTGCACATCATAATTAATGCTAATTTCAACATATGAAATAACTGTTCTTAAATAAATATTAATACCTTCCAGCACCAAAGAAACAAATATCTCTGTAATTTGGATCTGGACCTGGAATTTGTTTGAGAAGTATTTTATCCTTAATCTACAAGAAATAAAATACAAGTTTATCAAAATTCTCATAGAGAATCTTGAATACTTAACAATGGCAAAAGAATATAAAGTCAACTTATTTCTGTAACTTTGTTCAAGGAATCTAACTGAAAATATAGGAAGCTTGCTTAGTAAGCAAATAAAATTCAAGTAAATACCCAACTAATCCACATCTAAAATGCACAAATAGGAAAACTTTTAAGTCTTGTAGAGTTTGAAGATATTAATTTATAACAGACATATATGATTTTGGTAATAGCATTATCTCCGTGTGCTTTTGTATGCTTACAAGAACATTTTTAGAAGTACAAATTTTAATCTCTCTCTTACCATCAAAGAATTACAAATTCTATGGAACAACAATAAGAAAAAAAAAAAAGATTAAGATGAGGCACGTGATGTAAAATAAAAATTTCAAAAATAAGTTAAAAACCAGGAGAGAGAACGAAATTTCACAAAGGAAAATAAAAGAAATAAATACGTCCCGTGACATTTGTTTACTCACAAATAATGCATTATGTGTCAAGAACTACCAAAACAAACCAAAATAGACTCAATTTTGAATCTAATGAAAATCAAATGCTGAAGATAACAACGGTTAAAGAATAGCCCCATGACATTTTTACAACCACCAAGGAAGAATGTGTATGTACTATTAGCATTCTACTAGGCTGTTTTAGTGAATCAACCTATACATTACTAAAAAAAATTAAAAACATCACATGGGACGTATTAAAAGTGTGTAATAGTAATGAACATAAAATAAAAAACATAAAAGAATCAAACTTTCCATTTAGCAATAATAATAAAACGAAAAAGAATATCAATGAATATCTGAGATTATTGATAGCTGGGGATGGATATTAGCTAAACTAATAACTAGGTACTAGGTACTAACTATGAGGCATCACTGAAAGGATCTATCGCTCACTGGTGAGAGAAGAAGGTTATTTGTCCAAAGTCACAAACTCAAGCAAAAAGTTTGCGACTAATAACTCATCATCCTAATAAAAATGCAGGGAATTAAATTGTTCAAATGTTCAAGCAGAGTTCCTTTAGTTCAAAAAGTATCCAATTTACTATTTATAAGTGGCAAGAAAACTTACAGAATCTCTAAATGCGATAAAAGCTTCTTTAGGAAGGTAGGCAAATGTTGTTCCGCTATCCAAGACAGTTCCATGCTTGCCATCAAAGACATTTGGACTTAAATCCAGTTTCTTACCCGAAATGAGCATCCCTTTCAGCTCAATATTGTAATATGGACTGTTGAAATCCCAAAGCTAGAGTAATTGTGTAAGATGCATAAAATAAATTTAAGATATTTTTAGCCATTTTTTCAACTGTCTATGACAAGCATACCTCCGAATAGGATCAGAGCGCGCAAACACCACATCAGGCGGAAGTGGAATCCCACCAAGGACGATTGCACCCCCACCAATGTCCATGCCACCATAGCACAGAGAGAAGGAATCACTTATCACACCCTTTTGAACAAGCTGGTCCATGATGCTAAGCTGGCCACGACCTAAGCCCATTATTCCATCAGCATGTTGGTTGAAAAGATCACCGGTTTCCGAGGTTTCACAGCCAAACACAGCTCTTTGCGGTTCAAGATCACTTTCGATTCCAAACGATACCAAATCCTCACCAAGAAGTCCACTGCTTGAGCTCATCTCAGCGTACTGCCTCTCATAAGTGCACTGTTTGTCACCAACATCACAGGTGCAAGCCGTATTGCATCTTACTGGCTCGTATGTGCTTGACATATCGGGTTGAAACCTTGGATCCTAGAAAACCATCACGATCACAAATAACACTCTTCAATTTATATTTTTTTTAGAAACTCGGAACCCTAAACGGCTGATTCTAGTTTCATCGGCGCCGACATCAAATAATACATCTGATATTGCTGTAATAGAGAATGGAGAGAGATCATAAACTAAGCAGCGTACCTGATGGTTGCCGCACTGCTCACAGGAAGAGCAAGGAACATAAGTGACGGTGCTCCCGGTATCCACAATTAGGGCAAATTCTTGAGGAGGAGTGCCGATCATTAACCTGGTCGTATAATACCTGGAAATATCAAATACATCCGAAATGTTTATCATCCTTCCGATCTGAAACACTTAAAAGACTGGAGGCGGTAACAAGACAAACAGCAGAAATCAAACGCGTTACCCGTTGGTGAGAAGATCATCGTAGAGCCTCATGCGCGCGTTGGCCAGAGGAGAAGACTTCCCCTGCAGTTCACGGCGGTGGGAATGAATAGGAAACGAGCGCCGCGTGGTGTTGAGAGGAGAGAAGAAAAGGGGAAGCACCATCGCAGCCGGAGTTCCAGCGATGGAGCCGGGGGAGATTTGACTTTCCGATTCTCCATACGCCGCTTCTGCGGCGACGGGAAGGAGAAAAAGAGAGGCGAGGAGTAGCGATACGGCGAAGGCCATTTTTTCAATTTCTTTGCTCGCCTCCATCTCTCTCAGTTTACAGCCGATGCCGGCGGAGTTGTTTATATCATGCTTGCGGTTTCTCCCTCATCCCGCCACTGCCAACGAGATTGTAGTTTGTAGCCGACAGTGTGGCGTCGACGATTTATAGTTGTTAGTTTCTCCATGTCCATTATTTTAGGTGTAGTTTGCCGCGCCGGGTCGGGTGTTGTGTGCCGGTGTCAACGAGCGGAATGGCTACACGGACAGCTACATGCTGAACTTCGGGTTTTCGGATTTGGATTTCTCAGATTCAGTTCTGGTAAACGTGCTTCCCACATTTGATTTTATCAGCAGTAGTTTATTTCAATGGTCAAGGTTTGGAATTTACAGCAACTTTAAAAAATCATAGAAATAAAATTGTAAGTAATACATTTTTAAAATTTATAACTTTAAAGAAATAATTGATGGTCCATAATTTCTTTCAGATTTTCATTGAATTTTATATTACTTGTATTTATTGACTATTTATATTTAATGTGTCATTAATTAAATTTACCATTTAACATGAATCTCAATGCATTTGACACAAATCTCAAATTATGCTTTAGTGAGAAACACTCCAATTCAAATTAAAATTCATCCAGATATTTGATTTTAACAAACTTACGTTCAAACTGATAGGTTCGACAAGACGAACCCAATGATACAAAAATTAATTCAATTTGGGCTCAAACAAGCTAGGAACAATCTATTAAACCACATTTGAAGTTTTAAGATGGTTAGTTGGAAGGTGAGATGAGCTCCAAAATTGATTTATCAATAGCCAAATTGAGCATCTCGACGAGAGAAATCCAACGAGCCCAATATCACCTCATGTTGACCTCACTTTTGGTTGAGGTCTAGAAAACTTCTTTAGTAGCCTAGGTCTAGCCATAGGACTTTCCTATTGACTAGTCTTAGAAAATTAGAAGAGGTACCCCACCATTAGAAATTCAAAACTCTTCTTTTTACTCAGCTTGAAATTCCACATATTGATCTTAACCTCTAGCATTTAGTAGGTAAGATCATTATAAGAGAATTCAAGAAGAGTCCCTATAGGATTACTTGACTTTAGGGTCGACCCTGGAACTAGGATACACCATATCTTCAACCATAT